TTTTGAAAAATACGTGGTTAAAAAAGAAGAAATTTTTTGGAATTATGTGTAATATTATTTTCTTGGAGAATGGTTAGTTGTTAAGAAAATGGAGAAAAATGAATTATAATTTTATTGGGGGGGTGAATATGGGCTAAATTATAAGTTCATTTAAATACAAAGAATTATAACTCATATAATAAGATCTATGTTATGTTGATACTTATATTGGTATTCAATAACACCACTGATATTAGATAATATTATTCATAAACAAAAGTAACCCATGGACTCAATCATTCAAATTCACAATTGGCCTCTCGATGAACAGCATGAAATGGACAAAAAGCTTCGTATGGCCAACCTCAAATTTGTTAAGAATAATGCTTAGTTGTTTACTTATCACTACAAGCAGCAGATATCTTGCAATCAAACAAACTGTTTAGACAACTCTCATTCAATTCAATACTTGAGCTGTAACAGAATTGATAGAAAATTGTGCCTGATAATTTGAATAACACCCAAATGTCAAGCCACTGCAATCAAACTTCCATTAACCTAGAAAAAGCTATAAGCTGAACTCGAATCTGAAAAATTGGACAAACATTAAACATTAAACATCAAACTTCCGTTAACCTAGCAAGAGTCCATTTGGAAGGGCTTATCTAAAGCCTATAAGGAGCATTTCTTGGAGGTCCAAAGCTCCTTTGCTTCAAATATTGCCTACTTGGCTAAAGTCAAAAAGCACTTTTGACCAAAAAATCAGCTTAAAAATTAATTTAGGGGCACCCATATTTTGAGCTTCTCTGAAAAAGATTAAATTGAGCTTTTACGAGAAAATGTAATTTACATTTACCGAAGCCGTCTTTAAACAAAATGCACATTAATATATCCAAAAAAAATAAAGAAAGAAAGAAAGAAATAAAGAAGAAGAAAACTTTCTAATTTCTCACCCAATTAAATAAATATAAAGATTATACCCAAGCGTTTTTATAGTTATTCTGCCAAATCGCCAATTTAATATTTAGAGCACTTTATGGATTCCCAACCAAACATTCAACAACTTTTTTTTAATAAAAGCTCCATTATCCAAAGCTCTATAGCCAAAAGCTCGATTCTTAAAATCTCCAAACGCGCACGTTTGGCCTCCCATTATTTCACATTATAATAAGAGGAATAGTGATTTTTTAAAGAATGCGTAGTTAAAAAAGTGAGAAAATTTTTTCGACTTACCTCACCCATCTCAAGCTTTATCAGCAACCACCCTGAAAATTCACCTTACCCATCTCAAGCTTTCCTCCAGGTTTTGATTGAATTCTACCCACCATTTGACTAAGCATAGCATCATATCCCAGATCCTGCTCTTCAAGTACATTTTCTGCATTCACTCTAGCTGCATCCTCTACATTATTATGAGAAAACAAAAAAGATAAAATTTCTACCAGAAGCAAAAATTTGGTCTACATTCCTCTATAAGTGTTAACCCATCCTACAAATAGAAGAAATTAGCTAATTAGTAAGTTGATAAACACCAAACTACAAGGAAATCGACAGATGAAGAATGGAAATTAAAATGAACAAATAATCCCCTTTCTATTTGGCTCAGAGATTCAATCCACAACACCACAAAGGGGTACACCAAAGGTTGGAGATAACAGTAGAATTTCATAGGCCCACTAAGGCTGAAGAAGATTGCACACAAAGGCAGAGACGGTTTTTAGCTTCTTCCAAGAGGCACAAAGTAAAGTAATTTTGGCGTGTTGAGAACCGAGGCCTTGGACTCCAATTTATAGGTAGGAAGTAAAAAGGAATTTCCAAGAGTTTCTCACAAAGATAGACTCATCAAGATATGAAATTAGTTATCAAGGATAGAGATACAGAGGATAAGGATACCAAGTGCATCCAATCTGTTCTTCAAGGTTATCTTCCAAAACGGGGTATTGAGCACCAAACTCTAATGGGTTGATTTCCTCAAAACACCCAACACAATTGGGTTCCAACTCTTTTTGGTGTGAATTAAATGATATTCTTCAATCCTGGGCTTATAGCCTATGAAGTTAATGGGCCACTATTTTTCATCATTACCTAGGGGTTATTTGGACATCACTAAAATACCCAGCATCCTCATTCATAAATGTCTCAGAATTCATGCTTTTCGCATCAGTATCTAAACATCTCTATGTTTATTGCCAGAGTCAACATCTACCATATTGTTTTATACACAATGCATTAAATACAAGTAAAAAAACTCATGAAAAGAGTTCATGATGCTTTGAGCTTTAGATGGATCAAATTGCTCATTTAACCTTTTTGAGCTCTAATACCAATTTAACCACAGCTTAAGCTAAAGGCCACCTCAACTCATTCAGATCATGATTATCACCTTTTCCATATGTGGCCAAGACAGTATGAATTGTTCTTCAGTATATATGTATTTTTTTTTTTTACAGTAAATTCATAAATAATAACCCAAATATAAGCACTTACGTAGCGCAAAAATTTGAAAAATGCCAAGAACAAATTAAGAATTCTACCGTGCATTTCAACTTTACTAAGTATCAACGAAAAAATTAAAGAAGCAAAAATTAAATTTCAAGAGTTATAGTATACATTTCAACTTTACTAAGCATCAAATTGAATAAATAAATAAAATTTTCTGGAAATTAATGTACAAAAAATCTACTAGAATCAACGACATTCCTGGGAACTTGGTCAACGGGCACCGATGGTGGGTTCTAGAAAATGGGCTTCTTGATCTTTGACGATGCAGAGGGTGTCTGTAGAGATTAAAAGCCACAAATCAGCTAACAAAACATACAATCAACAAAAGTAAAGTGCAAGAAAATAATAAACTGTAAAGAACACAAGGATTTTTCGCCCTAAGGCAAGAGGTTCAAATAAATCCTACTACCCTTTTGAGCTTCCGTCAATCGAAAGAAATCACTATATAAAACCAAGGATCAAAGCAAGTTCATCGTTACACAAAGGCACTCAAGCATAATCACTCAAGATCTCCTCAAAGTAAAGAAACCCTCACAAATCGACACTGAATCCACACAAGGATACAAATCAGTCTTACTACNTCAAAACCAGTTCATCGTTACACAATGGCACGCAATCAAAAATCACTCAAGATCTCTTTCAAAGTAATGAAACCCTCACGAATCGACATTGAATCCACACAAGGATACAAATCAGCCTTATTACAAGTCACTCAAGAGATGTAAGCAAGCTATACTACACTTC